CCGATTTTGCTGTGGCTTCTCGCGAGCTGAAGGGGCTGGAAACAATCGCGACACAGACGTGAGAATAACGGTAACATTTTTATTAGAGCGTAACTGCAAGAATTTTAAATGCAGGGGAAAAAAAAAGCGGAGTTAGAAGTTTACAAGGGAGAAATATCAAATAACTGTCGACCCAGCGGAGCGCCACGGCTGTCCTACCCCGAAACGGCATCTGAAATCAAGTAACGGGCGTTTTGGACACGGCGTTTTGGACATCCACAGCGGCAGGAGCCACCGAAAGCCGTGACTTGGCAGAGCAGCGGCCGCGTAGCGTCCCAGCCCATCAGAAACCAGACAAATCCAGGACACGCTCAGCACCTCGCCGGGGAGGCGCGGGTTCAGCCATCTCCATCAGGGCCCCAGCCCCCCCCCCCCCCCCCGCCGGCACCGCGCCCCAGCAGCACCCCGCCGCGGCACCCCGCGCCCAGGGTTGCGTCACTTACGCAAGCCTCAACTAGCAGTGAGGTAGGTTAAAGACTCCCCGGACAGGGAAACTGAGGCACACGATTACACAGTTTGCGGGCATCGCACGACAAGCGGCAGTGCCAGAAACATCTTCTCGCCCCTCTCCGGCACTCCCAACCCAACAGCGTTCCGTCCAAATGAAGCCGACCTTTTCAGCAAGATAAACGCAGGCAGCTTAGAAATGTCCATTTTAAGTCAAATCAGATCTCCAAGATGAGAAGACAAACGCGTAAGGTTTCTGGCCTCGCAAACTCTCCGAGAGCTGCGCCCTGCCCAGCTGACGCAGCTTTAGCTCTAACGCTTCCGCAGCTCCCTTCGGTCTCTCAACCACAAACTGAGGTTCGTTCGTACGGGAAACTGGTGGAAAACAGTTTCGGTGACCCAAGCAGGGCAGCGAAGCCCCGCAGCAAGTTTAGGCAGGAGAGCAACCCGCGGATTCCAGCCGAAGGTCCGGCTGGCTTCCGACACGGTTGCCCCCGGACCCCTAACGCACCTGCCAAGCTGAAAAGCACAGCCAGATGGCGACGGCGATGCCGCCGGAGCGCTCTGGAGAAGTAATTCCGAACACCGCTCCCTGGGCTGCTTCGGCTGTTACCACAGAACGCCGTCGGGTATTTCAACATAGTATTTCACCTTCCACAGCACCCCCCAGCCAGAGACCTAAAAGTGCTTTAGCAAACGTGAACTAAGCCTCACGATAACCTCACGAATCCAGGCGAAACTGCCCCCATTTTACAGATGGGGAAACTGAGGCACGGTAAGGTTTAGTGACTGGCCCAAAGTTCCACAGCTAGTCAGGAACAGAGTCTGTCTCTCCCAATTTCTTCTCCTTAGTCACAGGACCTTTCTTCCACAGGAGAAAAGGAACCCCTTCCCCCATTAGCCCTGCTCTGGTTTCAGGTGGGTGAAGAGGAGAAACCGAGGGCGAAGGTCTGAGCTCTTCCCCCCTGCAGCATCATATTAAGACTCACTATAACATCCTGGAAGCTCGGCTTTGGGAGACTGGCAGGTGATACAAATACAGCAGTTTACAGGTTACAATAAAAACCAAAATCACACTTTTAGGTGACCCAGAGGAGGGGGAAAAAAAAGAAAAAAAAAAAAAAAAAAAGCTATTCACAGTTCACCTGCCTGTGCTAAGAAAATAAACAAGTCACATTCCCTTCCCCATAGATTCCAGCCCCTCCCAACCCACAATAAAAAGAAAATATTGAATGTTAGTTAGGCTTAACAAAGCGTTGAGGTTACAGATGCAGTAAACCAGCACAACTGGCATACTGCCTAGAACAGCACAGCTTGATATAAAAGTTGCTTTCTTAAAATCACTTCAAAACCAATTTCTGTATAAGAGGATTAAAAGTAAATTAGATATGAATTCAAAATCAGTGTAGAAATCTACGGTTCTTATCAAAGACAGGATACAGTATTCACTTTGATAGTAAAACTCCAAGTGTGTCACACACACCTGACCCAAGGGACATGTTATACCAGCAACAGTCAATATAAAAGGTTATTGCTCTAGCATCTCTCAGTAGAACATGTTTAACCAGCACAGAAAAGGGAAATACCAAGGGGCTGACAGGTCTCATTAGCAAAGAGAGGAAGGAGAAAGGATATAAAAGTTCGGATCTTTTTTTTTCCTGGCTTCTTAAACCCCTCCACTTCTCCCTGCTCTTGTGACAGTTTCAGGCCCCGATGGATGGGAGAGTTTCAGGCCAGATAAACACACACACGCGTCACACTCGCTCATGATAGGGATGGATGAAAAATGCTGCGCTCTAACCTCTCTGCACCTGCTTTTAAAGAAGGGACGATGCTTCCTCCCCTCTCCCGGGAGCAGCAGATGCCCTGAGCAGGCCCGGGTGCTGACGGAGGTGGCCTGGCATAGGACGTCACCCACAGGAGCGCACATCAGTGCTGAGGGATGGTCGGGGCTTACTCCACCTCCTGCTCCAGTGTGTTGAGAAAAGGCAGGGAATAACAAACTAGGGAAAAAAAAAAAAAAAACCACCCCACACAGTAACATCTTGATTCCTCTTAAAAAAAAAAAAAAGAAAAAAAGTAAGTGGTATCATCTCCTTACAGTGTAATGGAACTGGAGAGACCCTTGCAGGGTCCTGGCTGCCTGCGCTGACGCTCTGATCTCAGCGAGTCGCACACCCCGCGTGGCTCTAGTGAGCAGAGCCAGGGTGGCACTGAGATCACAGGGCGCCCTCGCTGTGCTATTGCTGAGACTGCAGGCGTGCAGACAAAAGCCTGAGAAAGAGGTGTCAGAGCAGAGGGCTGTGCTGTCTGCAAGTGTCAGGATTTGCTCAGGGAGCTGACACAGGCTGAAACCTACTGGCAAAGGCTCCTTCTGCCAGGAGGGGGCTGGGTAAAACCTCCCCGTTGGAGCCCTGGAGCTAAGCTCAGCTGTCAGTCACACACACAGACACGCACACCGTAATGAGGGGACTCGGCCTCTCTCTACTGAGACACAGCAAGGGCATTTCCAGTTTAATGGTCCGTCTCATCTCTGGATCTACTGCCTCTCCGTAGCAGCAGAAAGCACTCCCACCCCACCCTCCTCCCCTGCCTGGTACGTTTTGTAAATCACAGTAATGTTCAGAGAGACAGAACTGCCAAGGGGGTGGCAGAAAGATGCTTAGCGCCCATCTATGATGCCTCTAACAGAAGAGCTTGAGAAAGCAGTTCTGGCAGTAGGGCTTGTCATTCTGTTCTTTGAAGGTTCCTTTGTTGAGCTGCTTGAGGCAGAAGGCACAGACAAAGTGTTCGGGGTGAAATTTCTTGCCCATAGCAGTGACGCTCGTGGTAATGCACCTCGCAGTAGGGCTGCCCGTCATGCTCAAAGAAGCTGCCATTGATGAACGGTGTGAAACATTCCTGCAGGAGGATAAAGCAGAAGGGGACAGTGTATAACAAGCTGGGGACGCGGGCAGCTCCATGAGCCTCCTCTGCTCTGTGGCACAGCCTAGCTGTACTGCGAGCAGGGTGAACTGCTGCCTCTCAGCACCGTCCTGTTGTCCAAAGAGCCAAACTCTGTCCATCAAGAAGAGCTTCCAAGGATGGGCTGACAGATGGACAGATACAGCCACAAGCAAGGGAATCAACCATGCTCCTTTCCCCAGCTGGTTTCACTGCTACAAAGAAAATACCACAGAAGAGCTACCAGATGTGTCCAGCCAGGAGAAAGGAGAACACTCCTTCCCCTGAGACGGGAAGCACTGCAGCACCTTTCCCCCTTTTTTTTTTTTTTTTTTTAATCTCACAGCTTCCCCACAACGGCAGGCAGAAGCAGGGACCACCACAGACTTTCATGCAACAGAATTTTGATGAACGTGGGACTGCTTCCATCTGAGAAAATAGAGGCACTATCAATCTTTACAAGTCATCTCTCCAGAATGGCTGGCGTTACACAGGGACACTTTGTGGAGGATCGTCCATCCTGAAACATCTCCACCAGGTACACGCGCATCGCTACTGGGAGTAACTGTTCTACAGTGCTAATGATTTTGAATAGATGAGGAGAAGAGGATACACCAGCTACGTGCTTATTAGCGTCCAGAGCTCCTCACCCCCCTCAGTGTCAGGCAGCTGAGGATGCTACACTTCAGAACCTGCAACAGAAGCGCCCACCATTCCCACAAGACTGGGGAGACTCCCCTCCTTGTACGAGTGGGAAACTGAGGCAGCAGGGTGCAGGGGAGAGTTGAGGATACTGCCAGATTTACCAAGCAGATCAGCAGCAAGGCCCAGAGGAAAAGCCAGATTTCCAGAAGCCTGGTTTTGCTCAGCCCCAACACCATCCTCTTCCCCGGGAAGGACACACAGCATCGCTCGCAGCTGGACCCCAACACGTACACAGGAGTTCAGCACCGCATGCAGAGCGATGGATAGCTAAACACTCTCAATACTGGGATGAATGCAGCGTGCCTGCAGCGAGTCCAAGACTTTTCTAATGCTGACAATTAGTTCAATAAACAGCTTCCTCCCTCAGTCAGCGGGACAGCTGAAAAGTCTGCTCTGCTTTAGCAAAAACAGGAAGAGAATCCCACCTCGTGTCCTGGAAGACATCAGTGCTGGCCCCACTAATACAGGCAGTGTGGCAGCAGGGGGGAAAGGCAGGCAGAACTGCTTGCTAGAAGCCTCAGTCTCTGCACAAAAGCACAGCCCTCTCCAGCCCCACACAGCCAGGACTGCCGTCTTCTGCCTCCACTCTCTGCACGCCGCTCTGGGAGCCACAGACAGCTCTAGGCAGGCAGTCCCAACAGCACGGCGACGGTCTGCTCTGAGCATCGCACCAGGCATCGGCAGCTTGTGGTTCAGCTGCTTGTTCTGGTCTCTGCCTTTCGTTCCCATTCTAGGAAACACTGGCTGATTTTGCTTATCTCTTGGGGCCTGTAAGAGTTAATATTTGCAGGGCTCTCTGAAAGAGTGCCAAGCATTTAATCTGCAGTATTCCTGTTTATTATGCCTGTTGTACGGAGCCTGCCACTATTTCACTGACTTGCATGTTTGTCTGAACAAGGTCACTCTCATTAGTTTACATTGTCAGATGGAGCATGGAAGGAAGATCCTCAAAATCTGATTGCTGAGGCAAGTGCTCACAGAGAAGCTTAGCTTATAATTATTTAAAGGTCACAGAAAATGTCTCTGTTTATCTGTGAGCTGCTGCAGAAGCCCATAATTGCAGCTGGGAACAGAAAGAGCAAAGCAGCTAGAAAGTTTAATGTAAACAGGCAGAGGAACAAGAAGGTGTTTGGTTGCTGACATATTTTTATCTTGTGGGGCTGGCTGCCCTTCACTACCCCACAGACGCCTTTTGCTGATAAGGGACCAGATGCCTGCAGGGTGGGAAGGAGAGGGGTCGCACAGCAGCAGCACAGGACCTTGGGTTTCTTACCCGACAGACAAAGCATTCGGGGTGCCACAGGGTATTCAAGGCAGAGATGTAGTTTTCCAGGATAGCCCGGGCACAGCCTCCACACTTGGGAGCAAACATGTCAAAGTAGTCCTTGCGGCAATAGGCTTTGCCATCCTTCTCGTGAAATCCTGCCAAAGGAGAGGAGAGGCAAAGAGCATCAGCTCCTGATCTTTACCTGTGGCCAGCCAAGCTCCGCGGGGTAACCAGCGTGGGCAGGATCATCCTTCCCCCCGCTGACACACCAGCAGGTAGCTGCTCCGTGCTCGGCTGCCCCTCCTGTCCCGTGCGTGCACATGGACATGCATACTCTTCCTCTCCAGGGAGGAAAGAAGATTACTGCTAGCATCCTTCCCCCATAAACAGCTATATTCCTTGCAACTTCCATCTTCAGTACGTCATCTCTCAGGCTGTCCCCTACTAGCAGCTCTGCCTTACACACTTGTCTGCAGTTCAGGGAGGAGACTGCATAAACCAGTCATACCTTCAGGTCCGAAGAAAGCTCCACACTGGGCACAGAAAAAGTGTTCAGGGTGCCATGTCCTGTCCAAAGCCGTCACCACTTTCTGTTCAGAAGAAGACAAAGTGCAAGTCATGTAAATGATGGCTTCAGCTTGGAGGTAAGGGGGAATGGGTGGGGGGAAGAACACATTAACGTTGGTACTGACAAGAGCGTGCATTAAAATAGACTGTCCTTTAGAGAGTGAGTCAACTCTCCCCCGCCTCTGGCTCATTCAGGCTTTCCCCACTGCACACTTTTTTTTACCCTAAAAGGATCTTACGCACTCCTTCCTCCCTTATACAGGGCCCCGTCCGGCTCTCAGGACTAGCGCTGGTGCCTGCTACTACAGGCTACCAATAGACAAATTCTGAGGAATCGTTACCAGAATGATGGAGCGATGTGGGGTTCTGAAGGAACTTCAGCAAAGGTAAGAGGGACTAACTCCTCTCACTAGCGTAAGAATTTGAGCGGGTCAAGTTGTTTCCCTTTCAGAGCCAGGGCAAAGGAAAAATAGAAGTCCCCAAACAAAATCTTCCACCCAGGACACACGGGTGAAGTGGAGTTTTTAACACCCAGCCCTGCAGCACCTTGCCAGCACCCTTAATCCCCCCAGGGAACTCACATCAAGGATCGGTCCGTTGCAGTAGTAGCAGCGAGGGGAGAAGAGGTTGTGATAGTCCTTCTCGCAGTAGGGTTGACCATCCCGCTCAAAGAAGTTACGCGACCCGATCTCCTCCTGGCAGTGGGTGCAGACGAAGTGCTCAGGGTGCCAGGTTTTCCCCATGGCTGTAACTACCTGTTGGGAAGACAAATTATGAAGGACAACTCTTATTTCCCTCTCCCCTAGACCACATGACAAGATACCAGCTGGAGGTCAGCAAGAATGACAAGTTCTACTACTCAAGTGAGCCCTGGACTGGGGTAGCATGAAAACTGAATTACCTATCATCTCAGGAGAGGGCAGTCCCTCAAGGGCAGGGTAGAGGTCACTGGAGGAGCTTACAGCGTACCTAGCCAGTGGATAAATAGAGTACTTCAGTTTCTCCAGCATCTCCAGTCTCTTCAGCCTCACGAAACAGCCCTCCCCATTACTCCCAGCTGCAGCCCAACATCCAGCAATGAGACAGCACCTTCCACTCACCTGCCCAGCAATAGGCTTCTTGCAGGCTCCACAGACACCTTTGGCAACTGTAGCTACACCCAGTTTGTTCAGGTCAGACTGGAGACTTCCCAGCATGGTGTCCAGCTGACTGCCAGGCTTGGAGGCTGTGGATGGAGGGGAGCTGCTCCCGGCTTTCCCCTGCGCCATGAACTGTCGGGAAGGGAAAACAAAGACTGTAAGGCGAGTGCTGCTCCACTTAAAAGAGAAATGCCTGCCGTTGCTGCCAGTGGCTCCTCCGCAGAGACGGACAGGAGATTGCCAGGAGATAGCTACACTCTCCGCAGAAGCCAGTGACAGCCAGGATCAAGGACACACATGTATTCTGCCCATGCAGGGACATGCAGAGCCCCTGGGATATGTAACAGCAGAGCTGTGAACTGAGGATTTTATTTCCCTTCACTGCGCACACGGCAGAATTCCCAAGCAGTCAGTACAGTGCTCTCTAAGCCTCTGCCAAAAATCTCCCTTTACCTCATCAGTTCCTGGCCAGCTGACAAAGCAGAGACGCCATGCAGAGGGCCCCTTCCCCTTGACCTCTCTCTGTTCCTGTGCTGTGGGGCTCTCTCAGTTGTCACTCTCTCCTCCCTAACAGAGATCTCTCTCCTCTTCCTCACCTCACCTGCCTTTCAGCTAGAATATCTTCTCCCTTCCCCTCCCCTCTCTTTGCACCACCTTCTGCCAAGTCTCCTTTGCCCCCATCAGGTGGCTCTCATCCCACGCCCCAGCTAAGCAAGTGGAAGCAGAGAGGAAATAACTCCCTTCAAGTTGCCTGCTGTTTACCTACAGAGAGGGCAGTGCATCCCCAGCAGAGCCCTAGCAGCCAGGACTGCAATGGAGAGACTGCCACGTCTATTGTCAGACCGCTGGAACCGCAGGGGGGTGCGGGGAAAGGGATTAAGATACTTGTCTCAGTGGCCGTTTCTGAAACTCACACCACCACAGTACACACGGCTTGGAAAGGCTGCCCAGAGGAAGGGAAGAAATGTTTTACTTCGGTTCATAACTTATAAACAAAGTGTATGTTCTCTTTGGCCACCAAAGCTGCCTCTGCAGGCAAACTGCAATAATGAAATACAGATTATTTTCGTTGACTTTACACTGCAATAGGTACTTTCAGGTTCAGAGAGACCCAAAGAAGTCTCTCCCTGAGATGTCGGTCTGGAGCACGTTTTCTCTCACTAAGAGGACAGATTAAAACAGATATAAAATCTACACTTGTCAACAACCCACCAGCCTGCTGCCAGCACAGCCAGGGGAGCAGGGACGCACCAAAGTGCTTCACAGCCTTGGCAGAACCCTTCCAGCCACAGGACGAGCTCCATTCCCTCTCCTGCAGCTGGTCGTACTTGTAGTCGACTAGTTTACTCAATGACAAACCCTGGTTTCTACTCGTTTGTATAGAAATTCTCATGACATACATAATTTTAGCTTTTTTTACCCACACATATACACACGCTCCTCGTCAGCCTGGCCTTGCATGCAGCACGACTCCCACCGGAGCCTAACGCACAGCTTTTCCCCTCCTCTCTCCTCCCAGCCATCCCCTAACTTGCAGCCTCTCCCAGTCCAGCAGCACAGAGCAGCCCCATCACACCCCAGCGTCCTGAGCCTAAAACAAACCCTCCGCCACGCAGCAGTTACTTGCTACCAAACAGTTACAGTGACCGTCTCCGCAGCACACCATGGCAAGGAGCCTTCTCACAGGAGGGAGACGACAGGCCTTTGTAAACAAAGCCAGGCCAGAGTCCCGGGACAAGGCCAGGGCTTCCTGCATGGCACAGCAGGAAGAAGAGGGCTGGACCGTGTTGAGAGATCGTGTCCTCTCTCACTCCAACCAGGGGCTCGTGGCCACCAGGCAGGGCAGGCACAAATGCCACACACAACTGATAATTACCATCTGGAGAGAAAGGTGAGATGAATTCAACAGCTAGCAACAGAGCGCTTCACCCTTGCCTGTAGGGACCACGCACTCCTGCAAGCCACAGCTGACCCCGGTGCAGGCACAACCACCCGTGCACGCTGCAGTTTCTGCCTGGCCTGGTGATCCAGCCTTCCCGACAGCCCACAGACGAGTCCCCACCTGAGAGCGGCTTTTATTCCACCTCCTGCGCGCAATGCCAGCTGTTCACGGGGGACACTCAGCACAGCATCCACATAAATTCATCATGCAAAGGCCCTTCAAATTCCCGCCCTTCACCCATGAGATCTGCCACCACTCAAGTTCAGTTAGGGGCTCTGTGAGCAGCAAACCATGCACTGCAGGATATCATCTACATTAATGGCACGGGGAGCTCTCGGAGCAGATCCTAGCAGCATCTGCAGCACACTCATCGACCAGAAGTGCACACCATGCTGAGGAAACAGAAAGGAGGTCCTGCCTTCTCGGGGGCGGGGGGGCCCAGGGGCGCATGAGCAGCCAGCAGATTGGCACTGCGGACGAGGGGAGGAGCAGAGGTCACCTGAAAAGTACAACAGTTCAAGATGCAGAGGTGTTTCCTTGCTCACTGCTTGAGAGCTGCCTCTACACATTACATTGCACACCACCGCACTGCTCATAGACATGAAGACTTCCCACCCTCCTGGAGCTGCAGCCCTTCCCTGACGGAAGATGCAGAACACAGCTCTTACCATACCATCTCCCCAAAATCCATTCGCGCTGTGGACACCTGTCAAACACAGGGGCAAACACAGGACAGACTGCTGATTTGCTCCTTCCAGTATCAAGATTTTGCCATCTTTTACTCCCCCCACTCCAGGAGAGATTGTGGCAGGGAGAGTTGCAGCCTGTGTTTCAAGGCTACTTTCTTCACCTCAGAGGGAAAGCTGCACAAAGTGATCATCGGGACAGATGGGAACCACGCACGCACCAGCAGGCTATCGCACAGACAAGCACTTTGCAGTGCCGGACAGGCGCAGCTGCGATTAGATATTGCCAATGAGTCCTCTCTCCTATCTAGCAGTTCAGTACCAGCCTTTACCTGAACGTTACATCTACTGAGCTACCAAGCTGGGAGCAGTAATTAGACTGGAAAACACTGCTAAAAAAAAACAAACCAGAAGAGAGAGAAGCCTGCCTGCATCTGTGGGAAGAAAGCATCATCTTCAGTCTGACAGCCAACAGAAACAACTGTCTTGGTGCTAGGGGTCCAGGTCTGGGG